ACAGATTCTGTTTGACTTGGAAATGTAGACAGACTGAAAGTCTTATACACAGGCACAGGTAAAGTAATCTGTGCCAAAACAGCCTCAGATCGCGTGACTGTTGCCACACTTCTGAGCAATTGTGTGCTGGTGAACTTGCCATAAGGATACTGCATTATGTGTGCCATCAGATGTCCAGGAAGGTTTGTGGGTGCAAGTTCTCGTTCATGGCGAATGTCATGAACCCGTTGCTGCTGACCCATGCCTGCACTGGTGTGCTGGTCGCACCCAATGTGGTTGTGGCACCCGCCTCATGCATTGAAGAGAAGAAGGTCGAATTTCCCCCTGTAAGGCTGGGAAGCTACAACTTGAATTCTGACGATGTGCCCAAAGAGGCTGAGGTGAGTTCTGTGCCCCTAAATGTTGTGCCATCCTCTGGTCCTTTGTTGCCTGTGCATGCAACATCGCCAAACAGGCAGTACTGCTTATTTGTGTTTTGGTAATCGATTCAATCAGGATTAATGATGTCCTGGTGATGTCTACTGTGGAAACAGATCGAGGGCTGGGCTTGACATGGAAAGACGCCTTGAAATGTCAGAACACCTTTATCATCAACAGGATGTTGCTTGTGACTGTCATTTGTGGCCTTCATCATCACTGCGAAACATTGCTGACATTGCCGTTCTGTGTTTGGCCATTTCATCATCATGTTACCCCTTTCTTAAGAGCCGATGGCTTGGACCAGTCCACCACATTAGAAAGTGCAGACATCTGAGGGAGGATCTGACCACCAGGGACTAGATTAGGCAAAGAAGTTGTACACTGCGCTGCTGTTTGTTAGCTGCCTTCTATACGCTGTGCTATGCTGTCTTCTTGTGCTTGAAGTTGCCTGTACATATCTATGACCATGCTAAGGATGGCTGTTCACTCTTTGGGACATGTGTGCTTTTTTTGTCAACCTTTTTGCTGTGAAGTTTGGGCTTTCTTTGCCAGATGCTTTGAGGTCCTAGTATTTTGCTGGGGAGATTGTTACTGTCTGATCTGAATTCAGTAGAGTCACATGTCAAGATCGTTGTACATTTTTTAGTGTTGCTGATGCCCACCCACCCGCAAGTTCAACCCCACCCCTGCTTTTTCTTCAGAACCCTGTCGTGTGTGTCATCGAATCTTGCACCCCTCGAGGCCATCTGTCACTGTCTGCTGTCAACAAGCCCTATGCACAGACACTGTGCATCAGCTGCGTAAACTCGCCCATCTCCTGCCATTCCCATGCGTGGCTGAATAACACCAGACTGGTGAAATCGTGTAATTGTGCCACACGCTGTGAATTCCAGTGGTGCCAACCTCTAGCCACACCTCTCACTCCACATTCTGTCACTTGCCCCTGCTGCCTGTCCTTGCAGGTTCTGAACACCTGTCGACGCATCACCCACAAAGACTACCAAAAAAACAACCCGCAAAAGGGCGCCGACATAGCCCTGCTAATCCTGGAGAGCCCCGCGGTGCACCATGCGCCCATCTCCGGCATAACATCCATCGAGGAATGCCGGGATCCTTCGCTCAACGGCAAGGGAAACATCACTGCCTTTGGGTGGTTCATGCCAGGCAGGAATCTGTCACCCTCCATCCAGCTGCAGGCAGTGCCAAACTTGGAGGTGGTGCCAGCCAAGCAGTGCAGCATTGCAATGAACCATGATATTCCCAAACGGGCCATCTGCACGGTGTCCACTGCCAGGGCTGCCATCTCGGAATGTGAGTTGCTGCACCTGAAGGGGTAGGGAGGGTGGCTGAACTGAATTGAACTGACATTCGTCACCTTGCTCTTGGTGCAACGTAAGGCCAAGCCCTAAATTGCATAGTTGACTCAACACTGCACCAACAATTGTGCCAGGCCATGGGGAATCGATTAATGTTGTTTGTGCACCATGATGTGTTAGTTGTGATGGATGAAAAAACTGCTTTGGTGAAGAAGCCATCGTGTCTGGCATACCATTCACTTAGATGTTGCTTTGTCAGGCAAAATCGGAGCCCATGGTTGTGGTCATGGGTCATGGATGCTACCGTGCATTGAATTTAGCCTCTGGTATTCTTCCTCATTCTTACGTTTGTGTGGCGCCAACCCATGTGTCAGGGGATCCTGGCTCGCCCATCCTGTGCAACGACAAGAAGCTGATCGGCATTGCATCCTACGAGCAGATGCCAAACTCAAAGTACTTGCCCTACGTGTACACTCACGTTGCGGAGCACTGGGACTGGATCCAAAGCCTAGGAGCTGGGGCGTCCATCGATGTGCCAGACAACAGGACAGAATGCAAGGCTGCGCAAGCTGTGCACAGCATTGCATTAAAAGAAAACGATGATCGCGAGCTCTAGGTGGATCCTTAGCCTGTACAAAAGAGCACACTACCCTGGGAGTGAACATACACTGGTGAGAATGCCCTGGACCTGGAGTGTGTTTGTGGGCTGTGTACTGGTGGCTAAACATCTGCACTGCAGACAGCCTGTGGCGCTTTTAACGCATGTTACAGGCATGCTGAAATGTCATATTGAGTGTGTGGATACTGGTTTAGTGCGAGGTCTGCTTATTGTTTGCTGGAGGTGTTGCTGGGGGGCACTGCTGGAGGGCTCTGCTGGGCATTTTGTGTCTTCTAATGTCTCATCGCCAGTGCCGGGAACTGCAGCAAAGGGGGCTTGTTGGCGAACACAGCCAGTTAGGGTGAAGGTCATCATTGGCAAATTGTCTCCAAGGTTCCAAGGGCATAGCAGGGTGGTAATTGGGATTGAGTTGGCTCACCAGAGTTCTTCAGAGTGTACTCTGTTTCTCTTTGATCTTCGTTGCATGGAAATAGTCATAGTGTCGCTTTTCCTGGTTTTCAGTAGACATGACATTTGTGGAGATTGGGGCTGATCAGGTGTAGGGATCAGAGAGCACCGCCTGTGTCCATTGGGAATCCAGCCGATCCTCAGTGGCGCAGGTGAGGCCATGGTGGGAATCCGGATGGTCGTGGTCAGGATGCAGTTTTCAGTCGATCGATCTTTCGATCTCCCCAACTATTTGCCCTCTCACGGTCCAGCAGCATCCACGGCAGGGAATTTGGACTGAAGGCCACGAACAAGTCACCTCCGAGAAGCTGACATTTGTCACAGGCACATAAAGTTGAGGTGCATGCCAGCAGGGGTTGAGACAGCGAGCCGGTCCTGGAACATGAGTGAGATGGCTCGTGGGGTGGGGGAGGAGGAAAGCGCTGCTGAGATGTATTCTGGGGTTTTGTAACTGGGCCCTTGCGGGCACCATGGCCTGGGAGAGGCGCCTGCACGACACTGAAAGCTGCCTTGCATTGCTTTGCTCCACCCCAGAGGTCTGGCAGTCGCTGGGTTTTCGTGTCTGAATGGGGCAGGGTGGGGGTCATGCGTGGGGTTGGGGTAGATGATGACGCGGCATTGCAGCAGCATTGGCCCAATGCTGATCTGCTCAGCAGTAACGTCGTCATGGTCGCGACCACATCAAAATTGACGGTAGCAAACTCGATGAGTGTGCCAACGTTGCATCAATGCTGGTGCGCAGTACCAGTTGCCGCGTTGCACTATCAGTGTAGCGCATTTCCATTCAAAGGAAATGCACCTTTGTAGTCGTGCCTCGACTGGCGCAGCCACCAAGAGCTATCTCGTAGTATTGCTCCAAGGTTGACTGGCGTACACCCCACTCCACGTTTGATGCACACCGTTCCATCCTTGGCAACAACGCTGGACATGGGCGCCAAGATGTGGCCGACTAAGTGCCATTGACGAAAGGAGGCAGGGTCGAGGTGTGGCGACACTTGACTGGCCCCAAGGGATCGAGTACACGGCAATCGTGCACAGTGGTTCACAGTTCTGTCCCTTATATCCAGTCCGTTCACCAATGTCCTTAATGCAGTCCCTAATCCCCCATCACCTCTATGCGTCCTGTTGTTAATAATACTCGAGCAGCTCTAGTTACAACACCGTCACACCCCACAGGGTTTGGACGGCAAGGACGCGCCCAAACCCTGCGTCTCCTAAACTTTCCTACGCCAAGGCCGGTTGCCCGATTCAACTTCATTCACAGTGAATGCATTTAACTCCGTTCGCTATCATGCACCAACTACCAAGCTCGTCCCTCCAACCCAACACCACCTTCGGGCACCTCCCCCTCCCCGCCGCCCTCCCGCGCGGCCAGGACGAGACCGCTGACCCACGCTGTTTGTTGGCAACTGAACCACCGTGCGTCAACGGCTGACCCGCCTTGTATCGATCGCGACGCACACGCCAACAAGGTATCGCACCGGCCCCTGTCCACCAATTGTCTGCAGTATATCAAGGCATTGTCCCCAAGCAGTTTTCAAACCTTTCAGCGACCGTTTATGCACAGCCAGTCAATCTCAGCAGCCACGGAATCCCTGCAAGAGCTGCATTCTTGTTCAGCCGCTGTCCCGAGAGGAGGACGTCCCGACTGCAACGTTTTGGTGGCTGGGTACTGAAGGTGCTGGACTGCCCTGTTCCTTGTCCCTGGCCAGGTGGTTTGGTAGAGCGGTGGGGCATCCCATCCAGTGTTACTCGGTTCGATGCCTGGTCAGACATCCTCTCGGCCATCCAAACTGAGACAGCAAGGGCGGGGAGGGGGTGGCCCGATGCAGACGCGGCTGGCGGTGCTGGGACTGCTGGCGCTGGTCGTCGGGACGGGCGGTCTGCTGCTGTATCTGCGGCTGCGCCAGCAGAGGGATGCCGCAGTCGCCATGTGTTACAATACCGAAAATGGTGAGCCACTTGCCCAAGGAACCTTGCCCTGCCCATCGCTTGTTTCTTTCTTGTTTTCTGACTTTTGCCATTGCTTTCCTGCCCCTGGCCATCGAAACTGCTGAAGCATGGCGCAACCGTTGTTTCCACAATCGCTTCTACCTCTGCATCAATGGTGTCAATCGTCACTCCAACGGTCACCTGGCATGCACAGTGCAGTATTTGCATTAATGCTGCATGGCAAAACACCAAGTGTCTTTGCACAAATACGTAGTGGCATCTATTTCAGATCATCGTGCTGTGCGGGTTGTTAACCCTGCCTTGGTGCTTCGCTTACTTGTGCCTTCCCCCTCTCCTGAGGCGTTGGGGGTAGGGGAGGAATTAATCGAAGATGAATTTGGATTGGACGGCCTTGTGACTTGTGAGATGGCATCCTTCGTTAGGGGTTTGGAAAGTTTGAGGTCACCTAAAGGCAGTGGGCGTTTTGGCAGATTATTGTGGGTTGATAATCTTGGGTCGCGGGTCGAACTTCAGGACAGCGCCGGTGAGAATTGTGGAGCTCTGTTGCTTCTGGGCTGTCTCCGCAGCTGGTTTCAGTATTCATAGCCTCAGCATTTGATACCAGAGCATGGGTTTTCAAATGCCAGATGACCCATGTACCCCGTGCTTTGTCACACACAAAAGCACTAATTTGCCTCGCCTGGGTTGTCGGAGGCTGGATCAGGCGACTGCCAACGCCTCACAGCTGCAGAACCCACCTGAAACTGGTTTTGTGGCAAGTGGCCAAGTCCTTGGTCAGCCTGTTGGATTGGATTTGTTGTATCAGGGTCCCCAGGCAGCGGGGCCACCGCCTTGCCTGGGCCAAGCCGATGCCCTTGACACGCTGGCCCCCTTATCCCACCCCCCAGTGTCGCTCTCTTGGTGTCCCTCCTCCGATTTGCTCTGCCTCTGACTCATGTCTTCCAGTATCACAGAGCACCTGCGTGGTTTAAGCCCTGTTCTGTGCTTGCTGTGCTATCTCAGGTCCTGAAGCCAAGTCCATCAATTTTAAGGTGAAGGGGAGAGGCACAGTCATCTGTGCCATTGGGCGATGTGTTCCCTGCATGGCATCGTTGTGCTCAGTAGCATTATGCACACAAGCACCTGAATCGTCACTGTGGAAGTCTGCCCATGATTTGATTGGTTCAATGCAAAGCGCTGGTTGTTCACCTGTGATGCGTTTTTTATTTGGTTGACTCATGTTGAGCATGCATGTGTGGGGCTTTGTGCGCCTCTGCTTGTCGCTGTTTCGACAGTGCTGAACAGGCCTGTTAGTTTGCTCCCTCGGTGCCATTGTTGATAGTCTATTCTTTGTGGCCCCTTTTTTCCTGGCTTGGGCTTAGGACAGGATCAAACCTGGCACCATTCCATCCATTGGGACTGCTTCCAGAGACATTGGGAAAGCAATTCCTACCAAGGATAAATATGGTTTGTCTGTAAAATCTTGTTGATATGCTGAAAGTCTTGCATAAGTAGTTTAAGCTGTGCTGAAACCGCCTCAATCGCAAGAACATTCCCACCATTTTGTACTGGTGAAATTGCTGGAAGGTTATCAAATCTTGTGCTCCCTCAGGTGTCAACGAACTGTGAGCGCAGATTCGGGTTTGTAGTAAATGTCATGGACCCGTTGCTACAAACCCATGCCTGCACGGGTGTGCTCGTGGCGCCAAGGGTCGTCGTGGTACCCGCCTCGTGTATTGAAGAGAAGAAAGTTGAATACCCCCCTGTGCGACTGGGAAGTAACCATTTGAATCCTGCCGATGTTCCTCATGAGAATGACGTGAGTTCTGTGCTCCAAGTTGCCATCCTTTCCTGTGTTTGTTTGTGCCCTGTGCCTGCAACATCACCAAAAGGCAAGAATGCTCCATCGTTGTTGGTAATGGATTCAAGGAGGACTGATGATGTACCGGTGCTCTCTGCTTGAAACAAAAATCGAGGGGTGCTCTTCCTCACTTTCTAGGCAGGCGGACAACCAAGGGCGGCCCTGTCCTAGCCACCATGGGCTACTTTTGTCAAATATGTATTTATTTGCACAGCTGTTTGTTTGCTGTCTCATGCATGTCCTGGTGCACTGCCTCATGTGCTCAGTGCTGCCCTACACTCCTGTGTGACTTTCTGAGGATGTTGTTCATTCTCTGGGACATTTGTGCTTTCTGCCCTCTTTGTTGTGGAGTTTCGGGCTTTCTTTGCCGAAAGCTTTAAGGTTCTTGCAGATCGTTGGGAAAATGTTGCTCGCAGATGATTTCAATTAAGTGGAGACATAGGCCAAGATCATTGCGTCTTCATGTTGTTGCAATGGGTATTTTCGTTCATGCGCGTGCCACCTCGTGGATTCTAACATCATTGCCTTCCATTGATTCACAGCAATTGTTGTGGAACAGCTCAGGGAGTGATGGCTCAGCTGCTGCCCACTCTCATTCAAGTTCAACACCACCCCTGTTGTTTCCTTGGAACCGCTACCTCCTGTGTCACTGAATCTGGCACTCCTCTGTCCCATCTGCTGCTCTTTGCTGTCAACAGTGCCGGCACCCAGAGGGTGTGTGGCAAAGTAAACAGGCCCAGCCCATGCAATTCCAAACCACGACTGGAGCACACCAAACTAGTGAAATCGCATAAATGCATTCTGTGCCATGAACTCAAAAAATGCCAAACAGTAGCCCCATCTCCCCGCACACTGTCATTTGCCACTGTTGTCCATTTCTTGCAGGTGCGGAACACCTGTCGCCGCATCACGCACAAGGACTACCAAAAGAACAACCCAAAAAAAGGCGCCGACATAGCGCTGCTCATCCTGGAGAGCCCAGCTGTGCACAATGCGCCCATCTCCGGCATCACATCCCTCCAAGACTGCCAGGATCCAAGGCACAGTCGCAAGGGGAACATGACAGCCTTCGGGTGGTTCTCAGCAGGAATGAGTCAGACGCCATCCTTCGAACTGCAGGCGGTGCCGAACCTGGAATGGGTGGACAAAGCACAGTGCCGCAAGGCGTTGGGCCATGGGACTCCCAGTGGAACTGTCTGCTCAAAGTACCCCAATAGGGCAACCATTGCAGAATGTGAGTTGGCTGTGCTGTGTGGGAGAGTGGGGTTTCACCATAGCTGAAGCGAACTGATATGCCTTGTATTATTGTGCTCTTGCCTCATATCCCTTTGTATTCTCACGTTCTCTATGTTCTTACATAATGTTGATTGCGTTATTGTATCCCCAGAGCAATGCAAGCCAACCCAATGGGCCGCAAAGTAGACTCACCGATGTATCATGCTGATAGGTTGTGGCAGGCCAAGGGGCAACCTATTGATGTAGTTTGTGCACTATGATGTGTGATGTCAGATGTAATGGAAACCACATTATTGGCAGAGAAGCCATCGTTTCTGACATACTGTTCGCTTGGGTACTGCTGTCCTGGCTATGTCTATGGCTGTGCACTTGCGAATTGGATGCAAAACTACTGGATTTGTTGCTTGCTGCTTAGCAGTGCTGCCAAGCGTACGTGCAAACCACCAAGCGCATTGTCACCTAGTGAGTTTCACTAGTGGAAATGACCATTTCTGGAACGCCAGTGACAATAAATGATGCCTGGTGGGACGCCACTGGGACGCTTTCTCGAGGGTTGGCCGAGGTTGGGGGCTCAAAGGACGCGTCCCAGTGGCACCCCAGTAGGCGTCATTTGTTGTCACCTGGCGTTCCAGAAATGGCCATTTCCACTAGTGTTTCTCATCCACTGGTTTGTACACATTCGAAATTTTGGGCCGTGTGGTCATGCTGTACTTGTTGCCATGAGCGCACAGTTGCTTTCAAGGAAGTTCAAGAGCATGGAGGGCTCATTCGGCACTCGGCAGTGCTGAAAGGACAGCCAAGTACTTGTATTGTTGGCTGCTCTATGCTACCGTTAACCCTTCGTGATTGCTTAGGCTTGTGTTCAACTTAGAAGTAGAATCTACACATGGAATTCAGCACGCAGATAGACGCCATTGAGGACATACCCCTGGCATTACAATTGCTGTGTGATAGTATTTTGGGCTTCTTCTGTTGAACAGAGCAAGATAACTTAGGTCACTGTGTTGGTACTCGAATAGAGAAGCAGTTTGTTGTGCGGCCCAGTGCACTGACATTCTGCAAACCAATGCTGGCATCGAATTAGTGCCATGGTCCTTGTGCAGGAATCTTAGGATCCTCAGCGATAAGAGTATACTAATTCTCAAGCCAAACAACTGTAAAGTCCCTATAAAGTTGACATAAAGTACAGTGTTGTACTTGTGCCCATTAACACAGTGCTACTCAAGCAATGCGTTTCACAACAGTGCTATCTGTTGTTGATCATTTTGTTGATGTGGCTCATCTGCCCATCAGTACCATCTGTACCCGAAGGAGTGGAAATGTTGTCATAGAATAGCCCAGCAGAAAACTTCGTGATGCTGCATTGTTTCTTCCTTGTGACTGAACGACCGAACATGCCATGCCAGTGCTGGCAAGAAAGTCGAAAAGAAGTGATTAAGAAGGAACATTTGTAGAAGGTGTTGTTCTGTCGAATTTTGGCAGCTGCAGATTTTTTTTGATTTTCAGAGAGAAGCTTTTCAAACGGGAGTGGACTCTCTAACCCACCCAAGCTAATTTGACTCTAAGGCATTCTGATTGCGTCAATCACACTAAGGGCATCTTAGATGCTACTTCAATCTACATCCCTGTGCCATCCCAAGTACCAAGAACATACGAATGTACATGGAGTGAGGTTGAATAACTATGTAGCACTCTAATTCTACAGTGTATTGAATTGTCCTTTCGACATTCCTGGACATTCTTACTCTCGATTTGTGAAAATGCTCCGTGTGTCAGGGGACCTTGGTTCGCCCATCCTGTGCAACGACGAGGAGTTGGTCGGCCTGGCGTCCTACGAGCAGATGCGCGTCTCGAGGGACGTGCCCTACGTTTACACGCACATTTCAGAGTACCGCCACTGGATCGAGAGTCTTGGAGAAAAGGCATCCGTCGATGAGACAAACGACGAGGCAAGGCCTGAATGCAAGGCTGCGCGAGATGTACGTAAGATCGTCTTGAAAACCGCCGACGATCGCGAGCTCTAGGCGGACTTTGAGCGGTTGGGAAGAGCTTGGCAGAGCGTTTTAGAGCCTTTTAAAGAGCACCCACATGTCGTCCGGGGTGTGGATCTGCCCTGGTGATATCGCAGCAGAGCAGGAGCGCTGATTTTGCGTTTGTGGGTGTGGCCCTGCTGCTGGGGGTCTGCACTGCGGATTGTCCATGGCGTTTTAGCGCGTTTCACGGGCGTGTCCAGTGGTAGGATTGGCAATGTGGATGATGGCTGAGCGCTGGATCTGCACTCCAGGATTGCTGAAAGTCTGGGGATGGGGGGTGTTGCCATGGGGTGCAAAGGCGCTGCGTGAGCGCCGGGACGGGCAATTTTTTGGTGTCTCTTCGTGTAGTGCGCAAGTGCACGGAATGCCAATGATGGGCTTAAGCAGCGGAAACAGCCTGTCGGGGCGGATATCGTTTTCAGCGTAATTGGTAATTGCGCGTATTTGCGTAATTTGCGTAATTCGTTCCAGAATGGTATTTGAGAATAGGGTCGCTCCAGATCATTGCAGATCTCTTGAGAGAGTATTTTTGCCCTCTCTGATCTGTGGCTGATGGAAACAGTCGCTGGTTTTTCTTTCCTCTTTTCACCTGTTCGGTGGACAGGACACTTTTTCTGGGGGGAAATTGCTCCTCATTAGGTACATTTTATATCGCTCATGGCGTCGTTATCTAGAGCAGCGGGTCATGTCTTGTAATCTTCCTAGAGTTGCTGTGCGTTCAGGTATTGTGTTCGAACTCATTATGGGGCATCGCCCCAAGAATGTTGATGAACCATCGTGGCTGCACGCCCCTGACTTTTCGCAGCTTATTTAGCAAACATTGTCTGCCCCTTGCGGGCATGGCCATACTTGAAGACTTGTTTATGAATTCTTCTTTGCCAAACTTTTCATCGCCAGTTCATTGAACGACTGCAGTTGGCGGCCGGATAAATGCGCCATCTGCGCGTGGCGTTGAGGCCGAGTCCTGTAAGGGAATCTGCGCACAACAGTGATTGAATGTCAACTGCTCGTCTGATAGCATCATCGCCTTTTGCAAAGTGAAGGTGGTCGCGCTGCTGGGGATTCTCCAGGTAGCAGCGAAGTGCCAAAGCTTTGCATTAGAAGTCAATTCAAGTGATGTCCTCTCTTTGCCCTCCATGATCCATTCGCGGCAACGCTTTTCGCGTGACACGGAAAAATCGCTGTACACGAGGACTCCACAAACATTGCGCTTGATGCTTGTGGCGCATGACACAGCGTAGAACGTCCAAACTTGGTTCTGGTAGGATGGGCAGTTTTCCAGAGTCGCGAGCACGGGAAGCATTTCATGTCCTCCTAGCCAAATTGCGAGTCAATGGTATACTCAGTAGATTGAATGGGATTGTGCGAAACACTTCATTTCGAGCCATATGTTATCTACATTCATATCTTGTCTTTACAGTACTGGGCCAGGTTTCAGGACACCCTGGGTCATGGAGGATAGCTCGGTAGCTGGGGTGAAGGACCTAAATTGCACCCCGAGGTCATCGAGCTTGCCCCGCGTTGTGGAGCGCGAGGCTCGCTACTTCAACGCAAGGCTGCACGCCAATTAAATGCAATGCCCCCTTTGTGCAGTGAGGCTCAATCCCGTAAGCGGATCTGGGATATATCAGCCTTACGCACTGTTCTGGGTGAGTCGTTGCTACCGGTCTCCTGGACCCACCCGGTCATGTTCCCCACACGACAAGACATTTGTAAACATTGTACAAAAAGGTGTCCGCCACCAATTGCCTCCAAACACCCGAGGTCCGCATACTTACAGTTTGCCCTTTCGCTTGGCACGTACTTCACGCCACTTTTCTCCCGAGTCAGCCCAGAGTCAGCTTCCTAATCAAGCACTTCCTTCCACAGCTTCCCTCTATCTCCCTCAACTCAACCGAACTCCACTTTCTAGGGCTGGATGGCCGGGTGCAAAACAGGATAGGAGGGAGACCGAAGGGGGAGCTTAAGTGGCCGCCCCCGCTCAGCCCAACTAAAGCCCGCCAAAGTCTGAAGGCGCCAAACTGACGGAACCTCAGAACTACGCACTTTGACTACCCAAAGTACTAGATGCCTCTAGTACTTTGGTCCCTAGGGGCCAGAAACCCGTTTGAACTCAATCACTACCAATTGGAATAATTGGCGCAGCCCAACCAACGTCGTCCTCGACGGAAACATAATAACAGTATAGTTAATTTCATTTATTTGGCGGAACAAGACCCCAGATGCAGAGCTGACGTCTAATCGTGTACTTGAAACAGACTATTCTCTTCAACTGTCTATGAAGATCGCACACTTGAAGATAACAACACCATTGCCGTGTCAACTGTCGTGCTGTTTGGACCCTAAACGGGGCCATGGCACAAAATTTGCTTTGATGGCATCAAACAGTGTCAGGTCGTACCGCAGCTGGCTTCAGAGTCTGTGTACTGCACCAGGTGGCGCCCGACACGCCGTGTCCTCTCGCAGTCTGGGCTGCTGCCAGGCCTTCTTGGGTTGCATCCACTGGTGTCGACATCTGCAGGCCCTGGCGACCGGTCTGGTATCCAGCCCGAGGTTGGACTGACGTTGGAAGTGCAACCCGGGGCCATCTTGGAGCCATCCTGAGCACCGATGCGCAGTTTATGTAAAATAATCTCACGGTACAGAATACAACATATGCTGCGTGGGACTTCCCTTCTCCATGCGGCTCGTGGAACACTGCCATTAACAGAAACCAGGGGGTCCCCGAAGGCACTGCTTTCACTGTAGACGATGTATGCCGACCGACTTGATGTGCATCCCCCACCCACCCCACCCCACCCCACCCCACCCCACCCCACCCCCACCCCCGCTCCATGCCCTTCCATACAGCCCATACATAACGCGGAAATGCACTACCTTGAGCAAAGCGATGGCTGGACACGCTAATTGTACCAGCCAACATGCATCGTACGCATTGCCTACTGCATAGATGCCGACCTTCCTGTACAACGCCGAGGAGCGCTTCACAAGTAGGAGTCATTCTGGTTGTCGACAGCAATGAAGGTCTGGGAGGTCTGTGGGATTGCGGAATATACAAAAAGTGGGAGACAATCTGGTGGTGAAGGAGAATAAATTCTTTGACTGTAACATCTCATTGGTTTACAGTTTGAAGTTTGTCTTCAACAACTTAACTGTTGCTGGGAACAGTCTTCAGTCCTCCCCCATGAGCTGGCATTATGGCGATTTCCGGAGAATAACAAGCGTTGGCATTGTTATTCTGTCTTGGATCGAGTTTGTGGGGGGCGCCACCTTCCCCAAGCTTGAGCTCGTTGGAAATGATCTCTTCATGGCAGAGAACATAATTCGCAGCAAGAAGCCTGTGAGAAAGTTGGATACTGTGGGAGGGAGCTTGCAAGTAAATTTCAACATAATTATAACCACGAATGGGACATTAGACATTTTGTACCCTGGAGATCAAATCCAACAGGAATTACACGTTGGTAGAGGGCTTCAAAAGGCTGGTTGCTTTCAATGACAATCTTCATATCAGAGGAAATGAGAAATGCACCCGTGTATTTGGCTTCGAGAAATTAGATTTCCTCTATTGCACTCAGAACTGTCGGTCGAATGTGGGCTGCAGCAAGGAGCGGTTTTCTGGTGAGACTACCATTGCTTACAGTGCCAGATTAATACAGATTGACGGATTTGGCACGCTCAAGCAGGTTCGAGGGGACATTTTTGCTGTTGGAAATTCGCATCTGGATCAAATAATCATCGATAACTTGACTATCATCAAGGGCACCAACAGCTTGCGAGGAATGGTGGCGGCATCAATGTTTCCAAATTGCCGCTGCCACACTATGAAACACGTTGCCGGATGAGGGAGGACGATATCCCTACTTGGCACCTCTCTTCAGGTCGTGGCGGGGCGTCTTTGCGACATGCTTGGTTTTGCGTTCCTGCATTGTGGAAAAAGTGGTTCCATCCCGGTCGGTGGTGGCATCGCCGTGGGCATGGCGATCATGTCCACTCTGATGTTGATGTACATTTTGCAGAAGTTTCGATATCAATACTCATGGTTGGGGCGAGACTTGGTGACGCGTTGGCTATGCATGTCTTGGCTCTGGATGGCGTTCTGTCCGATGCTGGCTTTCACTGGTAGGAAAATTATGTTTGCGACACTAGCTGCGATGCCATTCTCAAACAAAGTGGTGCGGACACAGTGATTGCGATGGCATACAAGGGACTGTGATGTCATCAGTTTCTGTCAAATGGCATCGCAAACAGGCTGTTTTCTACTGATGTTTGTGATCACACGCTTCACCATGGCAAGGTCAAAGTCCACAAGATCGGAACAACGCGCTTTTTCGGATCGGGGTCCTTGGTACCGTTGCGCTGGAGGAATCTCAGACTTTTTGGCTGTTGTCTGTGTATTGGAACCTCAAATACCTGTATGTCCTCGTTTAACCTGGTAAATGCTGGGTTGATGCAGCATTTGACTGATGGAGGACAAGTGCACAGCCATGACTTGCTTCTTCTGGTTCCCGGTTTGATCGTCTTTGATGTTCCTGTCACGAAGTACCTGCTCTGGCGTTACGGGATAATTGACAACAAAAACGAGAGAAATGGCGGGCTCCCTCACAAGCGTTTTATGGCAGTAGGTTTTGCTTCTGCGTTGCTGGAAGACCTGCTTTAGATGATTCTGCAAATGATATTCATCATAGCCATAGAGGGGAACAATGAATGGGCCATAATGGAAACAACGGCATCTCTGCCGTTGCCGGCGGCAGAATTTTCTGGCCAAGGTCACATTCCCGACTATGTTGCATTATCTGTTGATGGAATATATGCGTTCATTGTGCCGGACAGAATTTAAAAAGTTGAAAAATGGACCGGTGTTTTGTTTTGCAAGGGGATTCTTCAAAACCATGTGGCAGCGAGATTTGACCACCCCATCAGTTTAACCTGCGTTCCAGGTCTTCTTCTGCACATTTGAGGCAGAATGGAATATACACAACGGAAATTCAAATGCGATGCGGAACTCTCATCGTGACCGGCTCTGAAAACAAAGTAGCATTCGTCACAAGTCCAAGTGCCGCGTTCTTCCAAGCCGGCGTCCCATTAGACTGAGTAATTTACTGAGGGAATCAATCAAGAACCTTTACCACCTTTCATTTTCAATCACCTTTCTTTTTATCCCATTTATTACCCTTTGTAGGACTTTTATCTGAATGTGCGATTTCTTTGCATCCCAAATTTTCAATTCAAATGACATTTCCTGCTGCTTCCTCTTGGGGAATGAATCATGACCATTTTCTTATGCTCAGCGTCAACTTGATGCAGTGGGTGGTGGTGGTGGGGTTGGGGGAGGTCCAAACCGTTGACGCTGAGATTAGGTACGTAATTGCAGCAAAATCGACACAAGGTGTAAAGATGACTTGTTCCTAAACCTCCCGGGAATGTTTAGCCTTCAATTCAACAAGATCCTTAGAATGTGCCAATTTACAGCCATTGAAGTTGCCCTCATTGCCTGGATTGGATTTTGAAATCCAATTTTCGTCAGGCGAGATTTCGTACAAATTTGGGCTTGTTTTGTTCTCAAACACAACTAGAAATTGCGCTCCACTGCTATACAATGCTGCTGACTCATTCTGTCATCGACATGAGCGTAACGAGACGTAACGCAAAGCGTAACGGAACGTATCGCGAAGCGTAACGAAATCGACATAGCGCATCCCTATGCTCTATGGCGCCAAACGCATTCGCCTGTCATGGAAGATCCGATTGGCTCGGAAGCTTGGCGGCCTTCGTGCTTGAGGCTTTTGGCAATATTAACAAGCACAGGGCTCGGCTGCTGCGTCATTCCCTGTGTACCCAGCCCTTTGTGTCACGGACAAGTGTGTCGCAGCGTTGCGATCTCAGTGCCAATCATCAATCATATGCAAACTATTATTGTGCATTTTTAAATGTCAGTAATACTGAGGGCAATTAGCATTGAAATAGTACTATCAGCTGCAGTAAACTCAAGAAATCTTACGTCGACACAAATCGCCCATCAACATTTATGTGTTTGCGCATCCAAACTTGCAATAATCACGCCGACAGAGCTCAAAGTGGTGGGCCCATATCCTGCCCCGCAACATGGGAACCGAGTGACCAAGGCACACATTCCCACCAGCGACAACAAGCTCGGTCAACGGCTGCATAAAGGGAACACGTGCTCGCATTGCCCATTCTTCCCCCACGCCCTGGGTTCTGTCAAAGATCTTCATTCTACACCAGCTCTCCGTTTCGGCTTTGCCCCGAACATTCCGTGACAACCACCGTTTGTGCGAAATGGACCGTCAAAAAGTGGCAGTACTAAAACTAAGTCAGTGTGCCTCCGCGGCCCAAAACCTGAACTAACGATCAGGCTGGCGTGCCAGAAGACAGATTCGGGAAGACAGTGCGAGGTCCTTCCGGGGTGGGCGGCGGGCCGCTTCGCACCAAGGCCTGCCCACTCACACCCGCCCCGCGGCCCGCCAAGCCCTGGACGCTTCCGCGCACTCCCCCTCCTGCTGCGTGCCGTGGGGAAGGGTGAAGGTCGACGGAGGAAGGGGGACGCCAGTGCCTCCGAATCTGCCCGTCCCACCCCATTTGCCATGATGGTCACCGGCTGTGGGAAGGCGAAGACGAGGAAGCATACGCCGGATCTGGGGGCCAGAGTCTGTTAGGCAAACGGCCAGGCGCGTCGCAGATTACGTCCGCCCTTTTTGAGTAGCGAGCCGGCCACCCACGCCGAAACCGAGGGACGAGGGCTAGGAAGGAGGAGGACCAGGAAGGAAGGCAGCCGCTCTTTCCGGGGTCGTTTCTTGCTGGCCTCTTTCGCGGGCAACTGCTGTCCGGCTTGCAGGTCCGGGCCTACATAAGTGCCCCCCTTTATTGAATCTAGAAGGCCCTCGCCCCCGTCTCGCAACCCTGGTCCGGCTGCCCCGGACCGGGTCCACCTCTTCCTCAAAAGATTTGCCCGAGTGGAAGCGCCTTGGCTTGACTACCCCCTCACCCCATCCCCGCCTGACCTCCGGGCGCTGAGGGAGTCAGCGGCCGGGGGAAGTTTGACTCCAGATCTGTAGTCGGCACAACAGGCCCAAGCCCGGGCGACATGGCTGGCGGTGGCCGCGGGGATGCGCGGGGTGGCGCAAGGTCGATGGCGACCTCGCCAAGCATCTCGATGGCGATGATCTTCGCCGCGCTGTGCGGCTGTGCCCAAGGCGCGGGAAATGGAGCATGCTACGCCCCTGAAACCGCAGGTAGGGGGCGGGAAGGAGCAGTCCACTCCCGGAAAGGGAGACGAAAATTGCCGTGCCGTCTTCAAAGATGGTGTCCACTGTTCCGGGGGAACGTTTCAGGGGCCCTTGGCACATTTTGTCTCTCGTCCCATCAAGATTTCGACCGCTTTTGGGCGGGAGAGGGGGTGGGGAGGTTGGGTGGGGGCGGGGGGGCGCCAGCACGGAAGTCGAATTCCTCTTTTTCCCCCGAGCCGGTGGCCGCCTCGTGCTGGCGCAGGGGAAGCGTGGAGCAGCAGGACGACCACGCAAGGCCTGCTTCTTAAGTCTGTACGTTTTCTCTGACCCTCGTTGGACCGCCGCTAGTGGACCGCCACTCGTTGACCCCACCCGCGGCCGCTCGCGTCACGCACCTCCGCGCCAAGATGGCGCTGACCTCATTTTTCATCAGAATTGGCGCCGGGACGGTTGGGATCTTGGGATCGAAACTCATGATGGCCATCGGTGTTCAGTAACAGTTGGTGAAGCGTGCCGGGAGCTCCGCACGGGGCGAGGCGTCTTGCCGCGCGTTTGTTTGGGGGAGGGACCTGACCACCAGCTTGATTTGGTGGCCGTGTCAAATTGATGCGTGGGGGCGTTCGCAGTGACACGCATTTGATATAGTCTGTCCAAACGCGTCAAACCAGTGTGCCTTGCATTCCGGGAATGCGTTGCACCCAACGCGATGGCAGAAGCATATCTGTCGACGTATATGTGTTCCTTATGCTTCTTGATGTACTGGAGAGTGCAATAAGTGACCCGCAATCAGACATCCATGGATTGCCTAGCCAGCCATAAGCCACGTCCACGCAATCCCATAAGGATTATTGTGGTGTCGCAGGTATCGCCCCGCTGACTGTGACGTTTGAGGTGAGCAGCAATGCGCATCCGCTTCACTGCACCTGTTCCTTGAGCCCTGCAATGGCGCCCCGCCGCCTTCTGAGTGACAGAGACGGATTTGGCATATTCGGCAAAAGGAATAATGGGAACTTCTGCCTCAAGGGCTGTTCCAGAACTACTTACCACGACATGTAGATGCAACTGATTTTCCCATATTTCGCATCTGCAGATCACTAAGGAATGCTGCCCAAACCAATTTGACTTTGTTGTCAACATCCACGATCCTTACACACGGAAGCACATGTGCACGGGGGCCCTGGTAGCCCCACAAGTGGTCGCCACCACGGCGACTTGCTTGGATCAGTTCAAGTACGATGATGTCAAAATCCGGGAATTTCCAGATGTGAAGATTGGTGGCACCGAACCCAATGATGCCAGACAGGGGAAGGTGAGCGCAAGCCTGAAGCAGAATTGATTCAATTCCAAATGGTGTGCAGCTAAAGCTATGACTGCCAGCAAGCATCTAATGTAGAGGCTTTTGGCCTCTTCAACACGTCTTGGTGAACTGATACTCTTTATTTCAGCAACTACACATGGTCGTGCAGATAAAGAATTGCCTGGATGTGGCGTTTTGCAAAGGGCGAAGGATCCCAGTGCGGTCTTGCTGGAACATGGCTAGCCACCTTGAAGAGGTTTGCCATCTTGATTCGATTGCCCAATTGTACCTTTCCCAAAACCAGGCAATGTGCAACTTTTCAAGGACAAGAAATGCAGCAAATATATTGTTGACATGAAAAGAAGCATTTGCTGTTGGCTTTGTGAAAAATGCGTTGTTCATGATAATCTTGAAACTATTTGTACAGCACGCGTTTCGGATCCACTAGAAGGTCGTTTTCTCATTTCGAACCGTGTGCTTTTGCCCAAAGAAAGTGTCAACAGCTTTGTATGGTGTCGAATTAGCAGTACTCTCGGCCCGCCCTTCTGGCTTCACCTTTTCTCCACGCCATTGCTTCGATTGCCAGTGTTTATAACGATTTTTCTGGCAAGACGACCAGACACATAAATTTTCCTTGAGCGCAATTCCATGGGAACAGAAATCATTGCCTCAACACGTGCCTCATTGCCTCTCTGCCTTTTGTGCACAGGTGGTGAAGACCTGCCAGAAAATTGTTCATGAAAATTTCGACCCAAAGGGATCGGGGGGTCCTGACTTGGCGCTCGTGATAATGGATGAAAAGGCCGTTCAAGACCCGATTACGAAAATGGTGCCACTGGCGGAATGCCCCAATAACAACATCAGCTTCGTCGGGTGGTTCCATCCCGCGGAGCCGCTGCGCGGTGTCCCGACGCTAATTGCTGTGCCCAACGAAAATTGCGAGGGCCTCATCGGCGACATCCACGAAGGGTCCGTCTGCGCCAGGACGGACCCCAGCCAAGAACCTGTGTGTAAGTAAATTGGGGTTGCTTTTTTTTATTTCCACTTTGATGTCATCGTTATTGATGAATTTTCAATCAATGAGTATAATGTAAAAAGAATACCTAAGCATGTTAACACAATATACTAGTGTGTGTGAGAGCTCGCTTCATGATTCCAATCGTTCTTCTGTTCTTCTGAAACTTGCCCAGATCATGGATTTCTGAAGCAGCATCACGTCTTCGACATAAATTGCTTGCAGCCATTCACATGCACTGCCGTTAAGCTACTATTTGCAAGAAATACGCACCTAGAACTCAAAAAAAAAAGTAAAAGTTGTGTTTGGCGCGTTGATGCGACGCATAGCTCGAATGTAGGTGATGCTAACGCCAGCAATGCGAATTCGGCGCTGATATTGGCGTTTTAATTTATGCGCGATGCATTGCAGTGCGCCGCCAAACTCTGTTTCGTCATCGTGTGGAAATCAGAAAAAATGGCAGGTGCTAATTTGCGTGTCCTTGCTATGCAGACGACGAGGGTGGGCTGTTGCTCTGTGACGGCAAGGATCTCGTCGGATTGGCATCGCGGACGAAATTGGGGCCAAAGCTCTATCCTATCGCCTTCACCGAGGTCGCTCGCTACAAAGAGTGGATTGACAGCCTTGGGAACCAGCATTCCACTGTTCGCAATAACAAAGCATGTGAGAAGGAGTTGTGAGCCAAACACTGTAATGCCTTGTGCACGGGGGGAGGTTGGTGGGGACGGGGATGAGCAGCAATCTAGTTCTGTTGCTTTGTTTGGAGCTGTACACTGCTGCTCGTGGGTAGCAGAGCTAGGATGCCAAGCGACATATGCTTGAATAATTCCAGATTGGATTGCAAGTCCGGAGCCCTGTGCATTGCACTCATGGCGCTCCTGGATAAGTAACCCGGCCCAAGGGCTGGTGATGGACGTGATGGGGCATGATGCGATGATTGCAATTTGCGGGGTTGGAGAAGCAATCGTTGAGCAGTTGTCCTGGCAAATGTGTCAGAAGTGTGGCACATGTGTACATCTCAGCAGTATCATGGGAGTTGCACATATATGTGGCAATGATGCATGTAGAATCTCAATGGGGCGCATGCCCTCTGGGTTTTGTGATGTGTTACAAGGAGCAAGAAAGAGCATGTTGTGACGTGTGCATTGTGGAAGCATGTGATGGAATGATGTGTCATTCCTGTATGGGAGCGGCTAATCTAACCATAATTTGTCAATTCTTGTCGAATTGCTGAAGGCATGAGAAGGACAACGGTATTTCATTACACTTTCATTACACTATTTCATGCTATGTTGCCATTGTATTGTGCACCGCATGTGTCTCCTAAATTATGCGTGAGTGGCAACAGCGCATGCAGAACTTAGTGCGTGAGTGACCAAAGGTTGCAGCCACAGCTTGTCGCGTGCTAGCCCAAGCCATTGTTGACTGGCGGCTGCGAGACACACTGGGCGCGACTGAAGCAGGCGGCTGTGCGGCCACAGCCTACCTGCCATTGTATGCTTCTGGGCCCGTACCGAACAGGCCGACTTGGCAAATTGCCAGCCCCGCCAAAGCTCCAGCACGCTGCTCCGGGCGTGTGTGCGTTTCGATCGCCGCAAGTCTCGCAGGACTACCGCCTGCGACAGAGTCTTTGGCATGACGTCGTGGCCCTTCACTGGCGCGATCGCGGCCAGACTCAGGCCCTCGCCTGTTTCCCATGGGATTGGCACGACCCAGAGGCGCGAACGCCAGGCCGCAGTGCTTTACACAGTACTGTGAATCACGCGAAATATAATTCCAGGGTGCCGGCCATTTCGTCGTAAGACAACTCGTCTAACGGACATGTGGTCTAAGGACATTACGTCTAAGAGACAACTCGTCTAAAATACCGTTGACCCAAGTTGACTTGCTCATATTCGCATCGCGCCTGCTTCCAAGGGTCCTCACTCATTCTATGCTTTCCCATGAACCCAAAAACCAACTCACTCATATCGGGGGTGAAGGTCGTGATCTGTATGTTTGGCAAACTATCTCGAATTCTCCAGGGGGGGAGCAAGATATTCAAGTCCCTCATCGCTTCAGGGTTCTCCAGTGTTTATTCTACTTCTCTGTGACCTATTGTCCAAAAAAATAGTCAAAGTGACACTTTCCTTGGTGTTCGGGAGCCCTGGCGTCGCTGTGGGGGGATGCAGTTTAGTTGCAACTGCCGCAACCGTTGCGGCGGGCCAGAGTTCCTGTACCCGGCCAGAGGGGGCAAGCATTGTGACTAATAGCGGCGCCGCAGCGTCCTAGCGTCGCAGCTGCAGGGTGTCCTCGTGAGTGGCTGGAAGGGAAGGGAGGGGGAAGGGGAGATCTACAACCTGTCGCAGATGTCGCTGCTGCTTGGGGTTGTATGCTTGGGTTTTATGCCATGCTTGGGGTCGGAGGGGTGGGAAACTTGTGGCACATTGCAAGCGCTAGTGTTGATGCAGCTAATCATGGCGATTGGGCCACACCTACGTTGGTTCGTCATCAATTGATTGCATGAGGAGAAGGCGAAGACGTGTAATGGGGTTGGCGAAATAGGTGGAGGATTTCCAGTAAACCTGTGCACTACTTTGCGATTTCCTTCATCAATCGACAACCCCTAGTGGAAATGGCCATTCCTTGATGCCATATGACAATAAATGACGCATACTGGTATGTCATTGGACGCTTTCTCGAGTGTCGGCCGAGCCTTGGCAGACAGTGGCGCCCTAGTGGCGTCTCAGTGGCGTCCTAGTAGGCGTCATTTATTGTCATCTAGTGTCCCAGAAATGGCCATTTATACTAGTGGCCCCAGCGCACATGGCTCCCCTTAACTTCTCTCCCTTTTCCGGCAAACGTATTTGTTGGGGCCGCTTATCGATCTTGGTGGGAACGCCCACCAACAGGCAAAAAACTGCTGCTGTGTCTCATTCTGCGTTCTCTCTGTTGCTGACGTACTCCCATACCTCAATCTAGATTTGAATTCATTCTTGGGTGCAGCATGCAAGGAAATGGTGCCTAATTTCCATTGTATTTGTTTATTCAAATACACAGTTTTTGATTTGCAATGTCGAGCCATAGCCCCTTAGCACCATCCTCCTAGCGCCTGGTCTGGTGATCTTTACATCACGTACTCCTGAGTACGCACAGGAGAAAAAAACACAGACGCAGACTAATAGTCTTGATTAACCTGAAAACCGGTGCATCGGCGTGGGCCCCTGTTTCAGTTAGTGGAGACGGGAGGCGACTAGCCAGTTCTGACCCCGAAGGGCTGCAGGTTTCGGACTTCGGCACACCTGTGGGCAAAAGGGCAATTTGAGGACGGGAGAGGGACCCATTAACGAATCAGTGCATCAGATTCGGTTGCCATTTTTGAAGTTGGAGTTTGTATTCAGTTTGGATCATGTCATTCGACGATATCCAACAGCACAAAAATGCACATTTAACAATTTCAATGGTTGTATAAATTTGTCCAGCAAGTTAGTGTCATGAAAGCACAGAAGATGAACAGTCACTGGAAGTTCAATACACAACAACAGTCGCGTTGGGCGATAGTCATGAAACGCGGTGTTGTCATACCTGAAGACTACAAATAGTTCAATTACAATTGAATTTCGTGAGAAATGAGGTATGATAATTTGGTATCATTTCAGGAATCAATACACACGACCGACAGCACCCAATGGCCGCTGCGGGGTTCCAGGTACTGGAAGCTGGGAGAATATGCAAGCATCGTAGTCGATGCCCGCGACTGCCCTTACGCCATTCACGGCGGCTTAGACGGGTTGCTGTTGCCAGGCACCAGCACGTGGAACAGGGTGAACAATATGATGTACGGCCTGCAGGTGGTCCAAAGGACAGTGGGGTGTAGCCTGCCGAACCTCGCGACCTTAATTAGCTTATTCAACCTCAATTAACCAAATTGACCTCCATTCGGACATTTGGACACACGGACCTTTAATTGAAGTGCTTAGACGTAGGCGATCAGCATGCTGAGTCTGTTGTGCAACAGATTGTGGACGATGGACACCCATGGCCTTTGTTGGTCGCGTTGCAATTTCCGACCTGGAGGGTCGTGGACTGGAGATTGACAGATGGAACGACTTGGAGTTTGCGCTGTTCCCCCGTAGTTTCTCCAAGCAGAAGTCGAGCTGACGCGGATTATTGTCGGAACTCCTCTGCGCAGCAGAGCACTGTCGAACATGCACAGCTGGCGGCGCTAGTAGCCAGCGCCCCTTGCTAATTCATGCCTTGCCGGCAGTTGCGGATTGTATGAATGGGTGGCCAGGGGGTGCTGTGCAGTGGGCATTGCCCACTGGGCAAGCACGACGGGGCAGGGAATCCTGCAACTTTGGCTGGTAGGGAAGGGAGTCAGCATGCCAAGCTGCGGTGAGTACCTCGAGCTCGGGGGCTAAATTTCGAAGCGAGTGCACTGGGCGGAGACGAACTGCCACAGCTCAGCCACGCCACTTTTAAAGCTGCCAGAATTCGCTGAGTCGGTACAAAACGTGGACTTTGATACATGCCAGGACATGAATGGAAGGATTTACGTTAAGTAGGGAACCTTAGCTCAGCGCCCAATGAGCGTTGAACACACTGAAATCTGAATATTGGCCTTCCTGAATACTACAATTGTCTGTTGCATTGCCACATTTCACTCAGCTCCTATGAGTGGAATCTGTGGAGAGCATTTCAGCGTTTCAGAGCGACCAAGATTGCAGGAGAAGACGAATGCAGTATTGCGCTGATGCTGCTAGCAGCAGGTCCTCCAATGCACACGTCGGCGCAACTCAGGCCCGTGTTGGATTTTCGGCTCACCATCAACAGCACAACGATCACAATTGTTCACGGTGGTGCAAGCAATCGTGGAAATGCAACTAACTTTCTAGTTAAAATGTTTGCACCAAGGGCGACGTTGGGTGGGCTGCGCCGACAATTCAAATCGGTAGCAGTTGAGTTCAAACGGGTTTCTGGCCCCCCTAATACATTGGGTCGGTCAAAGAATGTAGTTTCCAGTGTGCCGTCAGTTTGTCGCCCTTGGACTTTGGCGGGGCTGAGCGGGGGCGGCTACTTAAGATCCCCCCTCGGTCCCCCTCCTATGTTGTTTCGCACCCGGCCCTCCCGCCCTAGAAAGTGGGGTTCTGTTGAGTTGAGGGAGATAGAGGGAAGCTGTGGAAAGAAGTACTGGATGAAGGGATTGAGTCAGGGCTGAGTCACGGGAGAAAAGTGGCGTGAAGTGTGTGCGAAGTGAAAGGGCAAACTGTTGAGTACGGGAACCTTGGGTATTTGAAGTTAATGGTGACGGACACATTTTCTTGTAAATGCCTTGTCGTGTGGTGAATATGATTGGGCAGGTTCAGAAGACCAGTCAGATAGAAACAGTGGTTCAATGTCGCAGCACTCGCCAGGCCTCCCCTCCCCCCATGGTCACTATTATTTTTGTGTCGGTGAAATTGTTTTTGTTGCGGCATGTTTTTATTGCGACATGTTCTTTTTTGCGACGTGTTCTTTTCTGCAACAGTGGTGCTTATAATTGGCACAAAGTTGTTCGTTTCTGTGACAAGGCCCAAACTGTTCTTTTTTGTGACTGTGGCCCGGTTGTTCTTTTCTGCAATGGTGGCCATGGTAAATATGTGACTTGTCGGCACCTGACCCCTCAAGCCACAGCCTCTGAGCACTTTAAGGCCTTCATGTT